TTAAAAGTCTTACATTGCTCAAACAATTGCTTTGAGGCAATTATTTTAAGAAATCAATCAAAAATATGGCTTTTATTGAAAGGAAACGGTTAAGGGTGCTCAATGAGAATCTATGCATTTCTTCCTCTGTTTTTGCCATTTCTTTTCATTTTTGTTCAACAGAGAAACGAGAAACACCGTCGAAGATCCCTAACTCAGTGGTTTTGCTGAATCACGTGCTAAAACAGAAGGAGAGAGGTCACACTATAGCCATAGATACCGCACAAGTGAGGTTTAATAGACTATTTATTACTGGGGACCCAACAGGAACCAACAGACGAAAGATTCCTCTTAAAAGATTTTAAACTATTGGAGAGTCTGACACTTTGGGATAACGAGTTCCACACTTTTGCACCGTCATAAGAGAGAGCTCTCATGCCCACCTTAACCACCCTACCCCCACTTAGTATTTTGTTAAATAAAAATGATAACCGCTGACCATATTCAGTGTTCGATCAGTTCATCTTCGGTTTTGCCTCAAAATTTTGTGTCATTTTTTTACACGATCTTAGGCCTTACCCCGTAAATAATCATTCTTGAGTATGTGGGCAAGCATCAAGGGGTTCTTGCAGCGTCATCGACGTAAACTACTCATTGGTGGAGTGGCGATTGTTGGTGTTTATGCTGCAGCAAGATATGCAAAATGGCGCGTCACTGAATGGAAACAACAACAAGAACGAGAATATCTTGAACGAGCTCGCAAACAACATCATTTTGAGAGCAATCAGAGAACTTGTAGCATCACTCTTTACTCTCTTATCCCGTCTCTCAGGGATTCGTTGCTCGAAAAACTTAATAGCGAAGAAATTACTTCAAAACTTCGCGAAAAACCTGACAACAAACTCGAACTTTGGGAAGAGTTAAAAGTGTCGAGCTTTGCTCGTACAATTTCTGCAGTTTACTCGTCTTGTCTTCTGTTTGTTTTCTTACGCGTACAGCTAAATATCATCGGTGGTTATATGTATTTAGATAGCTTGGTTTGCACTGATGAGCAAGGTTCTAATGGCAGAAAGATGCGTGTTGCTGAAGAGATTCAGAAGAAATACTTAGCACTTGTAAAATACTTGATGAGTGAGGGACTGGATGATATGATAGTTGCTGTAAAGAAAGCAACAGAAGGTACGAACTTAACTAGTTAATGCTAAAAGAAAGCATATTGCACATAGGTACAGTCACATGGCATCTTCCCAGGGGGTGAGGTAAAAGTCCATAAATTGTTTGTAAAATAAATCAAGCGTAATTCTTTAAATGATGACTTAGTTCTGCTGTTGTTTTACTTTTGGTCTTATCGAGAAGCAAGAGCAACACTTGGCTATCCCTTGTGTTCCTAAGATTGCTTCTATCTTGCTCTACATCTCCCAGCATGTTTATATCACAGCACAGAGCCATGTCCATGCATTATATATTTAATCGTGGACCTATTACTAAGCAAAAGCAGGAACGAATTTGTCAACTCTGCAAACTAACCTTGTATAAATCCATGAAATTTTTTTTTTTCAGCCATTCTTGATGAAGTTTCCTTGAAGGAAAATTTCACTCCATCTGAGCTTCAACGTCTGATCAATCACATCCGTCAGACATTTGAATTCTCGCAGCACACATACCACTCTACTAAACTAAGAAATGGAGAAAGATCATTTGCAAGTTCAAGACCCTTCTGTCACTTTATGGTCCCAAGGGACTTTCAGGGCCTTTATAATATGGAAGACGAGGATGATACAAAATTTGTTAACCTTGTAGAAGAGACCCTTGATGTTCTGGAGAGTGAAGATTGTAATGCTGTTCTGCAGTCATGCTTAGATGTTGCATTCAACCATGTTATTAACAATGTTGCAGCATTTTTTGAACCAGATAGCTATAGTGCAGGTAAATAAATGACCATATTTTGTCATCATTTTGTATAGCATCATTTACTACAACTACCAGAATCCCTTGCACACTTTCTTTTGCTCAGTTCATTAGCACCAATTGTCTTACAATTCTCATTTACTATTCTCATAAGGAAATACAAATTTGAATACGAAAGAAAAATCATGCCATCATGCTAACAGCCTATTGATAGACAGCATCGTTATTATTATTTGCCATTAAAATTGCATTAATCATCATCATCATTGCCATTCATCACCATCATCATTTATACCATCAACATGTGACACTATCATCAAAGAATAGTCATCATCATCATTGTCCATGATAATAATCACACTATATAATACAAGTACTAATGTCTTTCTTATTTCGTATTACAAAAGAACTTGGTGCTGTTAGTGGCTCCCCCCTAGAAGTATCAGTCAGCCTCCCCCTGGCAAAGATCATCCCAATAATGAATGGACAGATACATCACATGTTTAGTGATGCCGATAGCAGCTATATACAGGATTTATTCAAGGTCAGGTGTTCTGGAGACTTTGCTGCTAATATTTATGAAGCTTTTAGTACTGAAGTAGACTAATTCAAGGCTCATGCAACACACACCTAAATGTATACGTTTCTACAACATTTTGTATTATATATAAGAGGAGACATTATATTACTAATATATCTCAAAAATATTAATTAGTACTAAGCATCTCAGCTTTTATTAAATGAGAGAAAAGTGTGTGACATCAAAAGATAACCAGTAACCCATCCTACATCTCCTTCATTTCAAGAATCACACAGCAAAAACAATAATAGATAAAAGACTTGAGATATTAAAAAAAAACATTACAAACCAATGATTTTCCTAGATTAGTTGTAAGATCTATGAGCATTTAACTAGCGTAAAAATATCTGATTCAGCTCTTTGCAAATAATATGTTTTGCAAATGTAGCTGTTTATAATTATGATTGTTATGTACTGTAAATAGATGTAGCTAGCTAGGTTTGCAAAGTGGCAGAGTTTTGTAATTGTAAAGAAATGTCAGTGAAACATAAAGCTTTTCTACTTTAAACAAATTTCCAGCAATTTCATTTTCACCAAACTAGTTAAGCTTACCTTTATCTCAAAGTGTTGTCGAATTACAAGACTGCAAAGTATCATGAGTACTAAACTCAGCTGCAGAAGATTCTGGGTACTTCAACTCCCTCAGAGGAATCTGGGTACTTTAATTCCCACAGAGGATTCTGGGTACTTCAACTCCCACAGACGATGCTGGATGCTCGCAGAGAATTTCAAGATTCTGTGCACTTTGACTCTGCAGAGGATTCTGGGTACTTCAACTCCAGTAAAGGATTCTGGGGCAGACAGCATACAATCCCACTAATTGCAGAGGACCAATCTATCAAAAATAGATTCTGAGCACACCAAGAATTCTGGGGACATCAAAGTCTCGAAGAGAATTCTGGGTACAGCAAACTCCAGGAGGATTCTGGATCCATCCATTTCTAACAGAAATTTCTTAGTACAACGCTTTTGCTAAGGATTCTGGTAACGCTTAAGTCTAGCTCGTAAAGGAGTCTGGGTACATTAAACTGCATGACTTTCTATACATATACAGGCTTTTGTAATGAATAGTGTGCAGATGGTTGTGGAATTAATCTATAGTCTAACAGCGGTATGTGAAGTATGTATTGTCTACACTAGGTTTACCAATAGTGAAGGCTCATAAAGAAGACTAGTCATTCAATCCCAATATTTGTTGACTTAGTAGTTGTCAAAATAGGAATTAAGGGCTCAATCAATGACAGATCTCATTAACGTTAGATCTGCTAGACTACATCATCCGTCACAGTTCTTTGTTTAAGGAAATAAAACGCTTGATAACCAGCCACAAAGGCTGTACGACTTGTTACAGTTAAATACCTATTGTACCATCCTTTCGTATGCTGACAAAAAGACGAGGAAAGAAGAGCCGCTTTTTTAACTTACTAAAGTAGTTGATCGGAGTTTTCAAATGTTTTAAAGCATCAGAGAGAAAGATTAGGAGTAATTGGAAGTGTACACTAACTGAAATCCTCTCCAGACGAATTTATAAAGAAAGTTGGTAGTGGACAAGCGAATATTGGTGAGTTGATTGTGTATTGTAATAAATGTAAGAGATAGGAAAGGAAAAGGAAAAGAATCTTTACGGAAACCGTGATCTATGTATCATTCATTAGTTAATATTTCTTACAAGAAAGTTTTCAAACATTTTGTCAGTCATTTCAGTCTAAATATCGGAAATTGTCTTCATGTAATCCAACGTACAATAAATACTTCAGATTTAAGAAAAACCTAGACTTATTTTACAATGGGCTTTTTCTCTAGCTATTTATGAAATCTAGCTTGTCTGCGCAGAATAAGTTGGCTTTTAAGAGGTCGCGTTAACAGCGTTTTTAAGCCAACCCTTGTTGCGAAAAAATATAAATCTAGACAAAAGAAGTTCGATATTTTGTACAGTTTGTTTTGGGAAGTCATCTTAATGAGATATCAAACTTTTGCCATCCAATATTTAGTATACTATTTATCGTTTTCTGGCGCAACGTCTAGGTAAAGGAATCGAAGTATTTGGCATAATGGCCCCTCGTTTAAGAGTAAAAACGTTGATACAAATTAAGAAATACCTCAGAAATCACTACTAATTGGAATTTATTGCTAAAATACAATCAAATAACGAAAAAATACAGTAAAATATTATTGAAAACGAAAACGAAATATCTTATTTTGAACTTATATAGGAATTATAGAAAGAAATTTCCTTAATCTTTTTTGTGTTATTTTTACCTCTTTTCTAAGCTGTAACTCTAGATCATAATACCTTTTTTTGTTTAGAAACGAAAAATTATTCATTTAACGAGCTTTCAACTCTTAAAAGGTTTTAGAAGAGTTTTAAAAAGTACTTGTGGAATTGTTGATTGTAACCAGAGATTTCGGGATTCGCTCGCGCGCGAACTCATTAATTTTTCGCTTCCTTTACGCCCAAAAAAAAAAAAAAGCTACAGTGTCTCAAAGTACCTATACAATAAAAACAGTACCTCGACTATAGCTGGCTAGTTTGGCTTACAGAATTTGAAATCTAATGAAACAGGTGTAAAAGTTGATGAAGACTAGCGGTCCGATCAATCATATTCGAACGATTCCATTCCATTTTTTTAGGCTCTGGTACTCTACAGAATTTCAAAGTTCTGATCCATAGTTTTTTCTACTTTATATTCTTTTAATTTCTGTACAGTTCAAAGAAATGCCGATTTATTTCTTGAAGATTGTTTAAGTCAGTGATTAAATTACGATGGGTGTTTCTTTTTTGTTTTGTTTTGAACTGGTCCCATTCGCTAAAGAAAATCAAACGAATGCGATGTCTCTTATTAACTAGTTTCTTATCAAGAATGATTATCATGCCATCAGACGCGGAACAAACTAAGGATCCTAGTATATTCACATGGATTTACAAGATTAGCCGGGATTACAGCAGGTTTGATTGATGTATACAGGTAATGTTTTCACTAGTACATGTTTTCACGCTGAGCGGTTTGTGTTTTAGCGGTCTCTGATTAAACTACGGCGCGAGATTAAGCCAAATTAGTATAGAAAGTTTGTTGGATGCAATCAGATGGCTAACGAAGACTAATGGAATACATTCTCACCATTTCACATAGAATCGAAAGTCTGGCACAAGGCTAGGAAGTACGAGATGAGGTTAGACTAAAACTCGATGAAATCGAGAGGTAAGTGAGATCTCTTGTACCTGTTTACACGCGAGTCATACTAGTACTCATTATGATTCTTAACTGTACATTTCGAGCCTTGCTCTTAAAACTAGAGGCCAAGGCTTCTCAAACCAAAGTTCAAACTATAAAAATATCAAGAAATTCCGCTTTCTTAACAGCAGAAAAATACGACTACTTTTTGCTCAAAATATATGATTCTATAATTTAGCGTAAACGGAAGAGAATTGGGTGTTCAATATTCGTCGACGTTTTTCCTGTAAAGAATATTTTCTATATTTACTCCAGAAATACTCATTACTCTAGAAGAATATAACTGAAAATATCTCGTTTGAACCGTTCACACACTAAGTATTCTAGATTTAATGTAATATTTTTGTCATATCGTTTCATCTGCTGTTGAATATTCCATACGAAAAATCAATTAACCCCAGCAACAAAGAAATACGGAGAATTTACATCAAATAAGAAAAATATTTGTACTTAGTGATCAAGCGACTTTGCATGAGGTTAAAATGTAATATGTGGAAATAAATTCTTCAAAATAGCGCGCGTTCATAGCTTAGCAAAATTAGGAAACTTAAGCTATCTTTGTTAAGGCTTTTTAGCCATGAAATTTTCTGCTTTAATAGCTCTAAGTACAAAATTTCGCGACAACAACGTCTCAAAACCTTTGGTCTTTGAGGTGGTGAAATTAGACGTTTTCAGTCCAAACTACACCTTTCAAGGCAAGTTATTGAAGACATTATAATGAGAGTGTAAAAACGACCATGCATCTATTATTTCAGATCATGTTTTCATAGAACCTTACAAACAAATTTGTACAATGGAATTTATTTTCTTTTTTGTAGACAAAGCAACGATAGTGAAAATATAGAAATTTGAATGCTAAGAATTTAGTTCAAGGACTGCAGCGAATAAAGAGAAGGGGTTAACATTTATCACCAGTATGCTAGATTATCACTATAAAAATATGATTAATCAAAATTGAACAAATTGACAAACGTACTGTGCAGTATTGAAGAGAACTGTTTAGGTGAAATACAGCGATTGAGGTAGGATCTAGAAAAGATTTTCCCAAGATTTTATTTCCGCAGACATTATAGAATTTAAGACGTAAAAGATTATTGCTAAAAAATGTTATTCGATAAGAGTTTTCACTTACGTACTCAAATCAAAAATGATATATTTATTAACTGGATGTTAAATTTTCCCCTCAAAAACAGAACATAGTATAGTTAGTTTGGACGTACAGTTTAGTTATGTTAATGGTATGTTCTGTACTCATTTAATTAAGCAGATATCTATCTCTGTTAAGTAGCTAAAAAGCTTTTTATTCGTGAAAAGAGATTGATATGAGTGATTGATTGGTGTACTACTGGCTAATTTACTCCTTGTGCATTAGTAAGTCGATTGAACGACTCCTCGCGTCTTTTGCGAGAGGCCCTCTTGCTTTGGTTCGCGGTTGTGAAGCCGGAACTATATTTTACATTTCCATTAATTCAATCTTGTAATGTAAATGATTTTTCGTTTTTTTAAACAAGTATGAATATGATATAATATAATGATAGTATTCGTACTATCCGTAATACGGTTCGGAGTCGTACAATTTCTCTTTTCGTCTGTATACTTCGTCGTAATGAGTTCTGCGCTTCAATTTGCATTTTCGAAAATCTTATTTAAAGATCGATTTTACTATAAGATAGTTTCAGATGTTTAAAGATTATGGATGATTTTGGATGGATGATGAAGTAGCTCTAGTAGACGACGATAATTTACTGTCCATGAGAGGGGTCGGGAGACAACCTACTGAATCAGTAGTAGCTCTAGTAGACGACGATAATTTACTGTCCATGAGAGGGGTCGGGAGACAATCTACTGAATCAGTAGTAGCTCTAGTAGACGACGATAATTTACTGTCCATGAGAGGGGTCGGGAGACAATCTACTGAATCAGTAGCAATATGTACAAAATAAAGGACAAAATTTTGCTGAACATTTAAAAATTTTAAAAATCATTTTCTTTTTGTTATTGTTCAAGTTTGTGTTACTCATGATGATCAATAAAGGCTAAAATGCCGGAAAAGAAAATGATAACACATTTTTTTTCTTGAGAATAGAAAAATCATCCTGTCAAAACCCAGTTAACTGTCATATAAACCAATAAAGTGCTCTCTAAGAATGTTTGAAACCCATTCAACTGCCCGACCAATTTTAATAATCGTTGTTTAAGGAAGCCAATAATGTGTTTGAGAAAGCTATTCATCTGTTAATCTTTCGTAGGCCCTGTATCAATAAATGTATTCATTTATTCAGTTTTGAAAACTAATAAAGGACTCAAGCGCTTCCGTAGAAATAGTGTCGGATTTACTTAGAGATTTTTTTGGCGGCTCCAACACTTGAAAGGTTTTTTAAAAGCACAAAATTTTCCCGGGTTTTGATTTGATATCTTTGACATTCCAAAACGTACGCTGCGAGTCTGTCATCACCCAATGGGCATGACATACAACCGAGGTAATAATAATCATAATATTTTTTCAATCTGTTCGGTTTTTCGGTCTGGGTATCATATTGTTTGTTCAGATTCAAGATTACTAAAACCGATGAAAGGAAAGTCAAACTTCCTTGGCCGTGTTTCCTTTTCCTTCATTTACAAAACACTGAAGGACGCACTCCAAAGATCGGTCAAGTTTGACATTTTGTTTGAAGAGAATTATCGAATTTCTTGTCAACAGATCTGAGAGTTTGAAGTGGAAAGACGCAGAATTCCTAAATCAAGAAAACTACGCGTTAAACAAGAACTATTGGCGAGCGATAAGGTAATTATACACTGTATAATGACAACCTTTCTCGATGAAAATATTAATCGAAATTAATTAATAATTTGTCGGATTAAGGACGAAGTTTAGGTCAAGTTGCTACAAAATCTTGTGTAGAAAGTAACTGCACACAAAACCTGCAAATTTAAATCTTTTTACTCTGTATTTAAAATCTTTTTTCTAGCTTAATTAAGCCCCGTTTACACTGGCGATTTTTGCGGCGATTTTTGCTGCGATTTTCGTGGCAATTTTCGGAAATATGAAATATTTTGTTTCATCCTTCAAAAGAGACATTCGTCTAGGAAAATCTTGGTATCCTGAAAAAAACTTTACAAATAAATTCTTTACCATTATTTATTATGGACAAAATCGCTGCAAAAATTGCTAGTGTAAACGGGGCTTTAGAAACTTACTAGCTCTTAGCCGTTATCTCGCACTCCAAAATAGCATAAGTCATGTAGATCTCATTACTTCACGACCTGGACTAAGCATTCAGTCGTCCTCCACGCCATGTAATAACAGTGTTAAAATTTCGTAAGTACATTCCCAGGTAATGAGAAAGGCTTCTTCTTTTATTCTGTCATACATGCTCTAGGTTTTCCAGCTTATGCTTAGATAAAAATCGTAATCTTTAATATATTATCTTATTTCCTTCTCGGCAAAATATCGGTTCATCTTTAAGCAACAATTCACAATTCAATATAAAAATTACGTTTCTCCTCTCCTCTCCTCTCCTTTTCTTTTCTTTTTTTTCTTTTGCGTTCAATGCCTCGACAGTAGTTTTCGCAATAACTCCTTCTACCACCAACTTCGTTACTCCCGACTGTCAGCCCAACATATGTCCTACACAAATAACCACAGTAACATGTCTAAGGCAATACACTATAACAGACCAGATGTTAGTACTCTTGTTATTAGTTGAGTGCCTGTTTAAATACAGAGTCTGTTCTTCATAACATGTGCGCTGTATGTGCATAGACTAAACGCTCTCTAATTCACAGCTGCTGAGAACACCAAATAATGTCATAGAGATAGTATCTGTCAGTTAATGGAGTAGGATTCCGATGAGAGGTCCCAATCTCATTTTACAGCATCCGTTTTCGCAAACGTACTGTCCTAGTGATTTTATTTCCCATTCGTAGTGACCTGAATTCCGGTCCTAGTGATGAACCTTTGGGAAATCCCATGTTGGTAATTCTATTTCACATTACCAGTGACCTTAATTCCGGTCCTAGTAATGAACCTTTGGGAAATCCCATATTGGTGATTCTATTTCTCATTACAAGGGACCTTAATCCCGGTCCTAGTGATGAGCCTTGGGGAAATCCCATGTTGGTGATTCTATTTCTCATTCCCAGGGACCTAAATTCCGGTGCTATTAATGAATCTGGAGGAATCCCAAACTAGAAGCTCTGCTGTTGCTCTGTTTTTAATTTATCCCCAGACTTGGCTCTCTCTCCCTATGCTGCGAATTCTTTGTTTTCAGCTCTTAATTAAGATTTATCTTATGGGCGTTAAAGGCTGATTTTAAACTGTCTTCGCGACCTACAAGATGTTCTCACCAAATCCAATAATAGTAACCCTAACGCCCCTAGAAATAATGATGTATAACTACCGTATGACTCACGGCACGTTTTAAGATCTCCGCTTGACCTGAATTACTTAGTTATGGAATGTTTTATTGTCTTATAAACGAGTATCGCTCACACATGCTGACGAGCACTGAGGTGCTCTACAACAGAGTATCACTTACACGGGTTATTTTAGCCCCACGAGACGATATCCATGTAGTTTACACGAGTAAACAGAGCAGAGGTCAAGGTTATCTATGATTCGACTAGGCTTATCATACTGGGATCTAGAGCCCATTCATAACGCTAACAGATCATTGAGGTTCCTCATTAAATGATAATGATATTGGTATATTTAGAATAGAGTCTGCTTTGTGATAGGCCCTCAAGATTTTAACTAAATATTATTTGACGAAAGCGCTAAAAATGTAAAACACATGCACTTGAAGTGATTGCTCACTTTCCCAAGTCATAGCTTTCAGCGCAAAATTGAATTGGAATTTAGAAGGAAACCCCTGGAAGCACTGGAGAACGCACAAGCAATTCCACTCACACATGACAACGAGCCTGGGAATCACGCGAACCCGTCTCGCATCAGAGAGAGAGAGATCAATAGAGTCCACTGTACGACTGACTGTTACTTGATGGTGGGAAGCCTCTATTCCTGATATAAAATCACTGTTAGTTATCCACCTGACACTAGGCTTTATAGTTATCTGCGCAACTCGTATCAGGTAGCAACTCGTGTCAGGTACATGACGTAATGTATCATTGATTGAATCGACTGAATGACGTAATGATCGATGTGTGAATCCACTGAACCGAATGGAAAGCAATTAGGTCAATAGCAAGATGATAAGAATCGAAACAGTCTGTTCTGGGCTACTGAAAGCTTAATGGTCTCTCTTAAGACAGCTGACGCGGCTACGTAGCCTTGAGGTGCATTATCATGGCACTGTCATGGTAAAGGTAGCCCCTAAGTCTGGATAATGAAGATGATAAACGAAGCCTGTAGGGCTAAAACGTGAAAGAATGGTTTGGAAATTTTAAACACGTGTGAGACAAGCATTCACCTCTTACCCTCCCCCCAAGGGAATTTTTGTTAATTCTTCTATCATAATTTCGGCTTATTTCTATCTTATTTGCTGTATTGTAAATTTATTTCGGTCATATATTACGGTATCCCTGTGTTATGCTAGACGCAAAGGACTTAGGGCGAGATCTTCCCAGACTGCTATCAAAATGAGACAATGTTTCACAGGAAGCCCGCGAAAAGTGAATCTAACTGCCATTGTTTGTTCTTTTAAGGTTGGATTGCAACATGCCTTTCATCAAAGTCAACTTGAACGGCCGGAAGTACGTCATTTCAGGCCTGACGGAAAGGACGTCCAGTAAACATATCTTGTGTTCCTTGGCGAGGGTCGATTCAACGTTTCAATTGGAAACCACTGATTTCAGTGACATGTCTGTGGAAGTGGTGGAACGGGACAAAGAAGTCCGGAACTCGAGATCAAGAACACGGCAAAAGCGAGTGCGTCATAGTTCAACATCATCGTTAGAAATTACAGAATGGAAGAATTGTTTACGAGGTGCTGTGTCAGAGAAAAGCTGTCTAAGACACGTTTGTGTCATGGATAATAAGAAAAGACAAGAATTGGACGAGGCAGCGAGTAGGTCGAAGGCAGGAAAGTGTTCAAGAAAGCTGCTTTTTGCAGAAACAGCCCCAGGAAAAGAAAAGAGTTTGAAATCTAAAAGTGAGTTTCCCAAGAGGATACAAGAAACATCTTCTGAGGACCAAGGAGTTACAAGAAATGGAAGAGAAAATGAAAATGAAAAAGGGGAAGTGAAAAGAAGGAAAAGGAAAACGAAGAAACGTCCCGTTAGTCAGGATATCACGTCTTGGAAAGACAAAAATGAGAGTAAGGAGAGTGGAGGAAAAACGAAATTTGGGGAAAAAGAATGGAAGTCAGCAGATGACGTAAGAGAAAACAAATCATCCCATGTTTCATCTTGCGAAAAAATGGATGAAAAAATGGGGAAAAAACGAAAGAAAACAGTCGAACACCACAGTCGCAAACCAAAACATTTGCATTGCCATAAAAGTGATACGAAATCTGGAAACAATGATCAATACATTGTCGTAGATGCGATCAATAAACCGTCGGAATATCGTCGTGTTCATAGGCATGTTCGCGAAGAGCTTAACAAAATCAAGATAGAAAAGGTTGTGAGCCGAACTGTTGACCAGAGGTTGGCAGACTTCCACGTGGCATGCTTACATTCCTCTCAAAGAATTCATCCCGGAATACAGCAACAAAACGAAGAAGAAACGAAACGAAAACTCATTCAGCTGATCAACAGTCAAAGAAAATGCTTGAAAGCTCTCGGCAAAGCCGACAAACAAACCAAGAAGGCTTTGAATCGTTACAAGAGATATTTAGATCTTGATAAAGAAAAAATCCCACTCTACAACGTGAGTTTTGACAGAGAGAAAATTGTTAAAGAAAGAGAAAGAAGAAGCAGCGATACAGACCACGATACTGGAATAAGCGAGCAACACTCTGACAGCTCCACTGAAAACAAACAGACAACTATCTATGACTTGTATAAGTATGACGTCAAAATCAATGGTGTCGTAAGTGATGACGTCATCAAAAGTGGCGAGGAGATGGAGAACGAAGAATCCAAAACTGTAGATTCTCCTTCGATTGAGGACGACAAAACATGGGACATTATGGGGAAAGTCAATTCAAAGACCGATGACGTCAGTAAAAATGACCTAACTGTTGATCCCGTGAAAAGTTATGACGTCATAAAGAGCAAAGACTTGGAAACTCTTGACGTTATCAATAATGATCTTTTAAATAACGTAACTGAAGATGTTGCGGAAATGGACGGCTTTGACAATGAACACGTCATAAATGACGTTGAAGTCAGTGACTTTGGAAAAGGTAACGAAAGCGATCAAGACGTCATTATTGCAAAGCAAACAGAAATCTTACCATACGACCAATCAGAAATCAGCTCGACTGCCGTTCCTTGCTGTTCAGCGGATTCTTTCACAGTGAGCACGGTGAGTGAAATATCTGATTACTGTTCCCATAGCAACTCCATAGACTCACAACCACGTGACATTCAAGGATGCCAGGAGGTGTTGATGCAAGAGAAAGCGAGAGAACTGGAACTAAAGCAAAAAATCGACCGTTTTTCGGGTGAGATGAGACTGATGGACCTAAGAATCCTCGAGCAAAACAAAATGGCGGACGTCTTGGAGAGTTTGAAGAACCTTAACAATGAACTTGTAAGAGACGATAAAGAAACCGAACCCGATGAACAGACCTTAAAAATTGAAAAGAAAAACCTAAGAAAGTCAATAAAGCTAAGCATGAACCTCTACGAGTACCAAAAAGGAGAGATGAATGATAATGCTCTCAGCTTGCAGATAATTGAAGCACAAATCAAACGCAAGCGATGGCACGTTGAATCAGCCGTTAGGGACTTGGGACACTTTGTTACCAGTTCTTTACGGACACAGTTGGAACGGATCCAGTCCCTTGAAGAAGTGGCTGGGATAAAAACGAGTGTAGTGTTCAAGCCACAGCTTAATGGTACCTTAGTATAAATATCAAAATGAATTACGCTCATATTCTTGGTTTCAAGGTCTGACTCATTAGCGTCGTTTTGTAGGAAATTACTCATAAACACAAACTTATAATTTGTCACAAAACGTCAGCCATGACCGACAGATATCAAGTGTTCAATAATAAGACTGTATAAGAGTGTGAAACAACCTCTGGGCTGATCTAAGTCAGAGCATGGCTAACTCACAGATCAAACCCTGAAACAACCTCTGGGCTGATCTAAGTCAGGGCATGGCTAACACACAGATAGAACCCTGAAACAACCTCTGGGCTGATCTAAGTCAGGGCATTGCTAACTCACAGATTGAACCCTGAAACAACCTCTGAGCTGATCTAAGTCAGG